GGCAAATGGAACTACACCTACAAATATATATATATATATATATATATATAGGTTTGACAGAGAATATCTGCATTTGCACCTGTATGTGTGGAAATATATCTATGAATATGTTGTGTTAGGTGCCGTTGAGTAGGTTCCAACTCATAGTGACCCTGTGCACAACAGAATGAAAGGCTGCCTGGTCCTGCACCATCTTCACAAACGTTGCTATTTTTGAGCTGATAATTGCAGTCAATGTGTCAATCCATCTCGTTGAGGTCTTCCTCATTTTCACTGACCCTCTACTTTACCAAGCATGATATCCTTCTAGTCCCTTCTGACAACATGACCAAAGTATGAGAGAAGTCTGGCCATTCTCACTTCTAAGGAGCATTTCAGTAGTACTTCTTCCAAGACAGATTTCTTGGTTTTTCTGGTCATTGCGACCCCTCCTTGGGTTTCCGAGGTGACATCTTTATGGAAGTAGATTGCCCAGTCTTCCTTCTGAGGAGTGACTGGTGGGTTTGAACTGCCAGCCTTCCATTTAGCAGTCAAATGCCTTAGGCATTATGCCACCAGAGCTCCTTTTCTGGTAGTCCGTGGTATTTTCAGTATTCTTCACCAGCACCACAATTTGAATACATCAATTCTTTGGTCTTTCTTATTCATTGTCCAGCTTTCACATGCATATGAGGTGATTGAAAATACCATGGCTCAATCAAGCACACTTTAGTCTTTAAAATGACTTTTACTCTTTAACATTTTAAAGAGGACTTTTGCAGCGCATTTGCCCAGTGCATTGCCCTGTTAGGTTTCTTGACTGCTGGTTCCATGGACATTGATTGTGGATCCAAGTAAAATGAAATCTTTAACAATTTCAATCTTTTCTCCATTTATCATGATGTTGCTTATTGAGGAAACTATTGCTCTAGTTGTGAGGATTTTTATTTTCTTTATGTTGAGGTGTAATCCATACTCCATCATTTAGTGCTTCAAATCTTCTTCACTTTCAGCAAGCAGATTTTTGTCATCTGTATATTGCAGGCTGTTAATGATTGATTCTTCCTCCAGTCCTAATGCCCCATTCTTCTTCATTTAGTACAGCTTCTTGGATTATTTGCTCCACCTTCAGTTTGAATAAGTGTGGTGAGAGGACACAACCCTGACACACACCTTTCTTGATTTTAAACCATCCAGTATCCCCTTGTTCTGTTCAAATGACTGAGCCTGGCCTGGTCTATATACAGATTCCTCATGAGCACCATTAAGTGTTAATTAGTAGAGCATACAGTGAAGTATAGAAACTCCTTAACCACAGCCAGACACCATGAGAAAATGAGTCATTGGACCTGGAGACTCAGGACCATAGTCCTAGGGGCCATCAGGTCAACTGGCAAAACACAGTCCACAAAGACAGTGTTCTGCATCCTACTTTGGTGAATAGTGACTGGGTCTTGAAAGCTTTGGAGCAGCCATCTCAGGTGCAGCTTAATATTAGTCTTTCCCCATCCAGAGCAAAGAAGAGTGAAGAAAATCTAAGATATATGCAAACAGTTGTCCAAAGGACTAATGGATCATGTGAACTCCATGCCTCCACAGCCATGAGACCAGAAGAACTAGATGGTACCCAGCTACCACTTCTGGCAGCTCTGAAAGGAATTACAATAGGAGATCCTGGATAGAGTGCGAGACAAATGTGGAACAAAACTCAAAATAATAAAATGGCAGGCTTACTAGTCTGATAGTGACTAGTGGAATCCCTGAGACTATGGCCCTTAAATACCCTACAAGCCTTAGAACCAAACTTACCCTCATGGCTCAACTTGGAGCCAAACAATAACAGGGTTATAAAGGCTTATGTACACCAGGGAGGTACATACTCTTCAGAGCAGTCAACTATACAAGAACAAAAGGGCAGCATTTGCCCAGGGATAAAGCTCAGAAGGTAGGAAGGAATAAGAAAGAAGGATGGGTGGAAACGACAAACACTGGGAAGAAGTGGGAAGAGCACTGTTTCATTGTGGGGATTGCAATGTGAATGTCACAAAACAAAGTGTGTATTAATTATTGAATGGAAAACCAGTTTGCTCTATAAACTTTCACTCAAGTCAGAACAGAGATTTATTTTTAAAAAAATGCTTTAGAAGTTTTCTTAACTTAGCCTTTGTGCAGCCACGACCAAATGTGTATAGCTGCAATATAAAATTAAAACAACCTTTAGCAATAGAAGGTCTAAGATAAGAATTCACCCTAAAAATGGAAAAAGCACACAGAGGCTCTGCCAAGTTTAGTATTTAGAAGGAAAACATTTAAGTATATGCTTGTTAAATCTATAAACTTTAGAAATAAAAAATTATGACTTCAAGCAACAAAAGAGAAGAATATATTAACATTTCACAGATAGCAATAACTTAAGATTATTCTACCGAAGTACTGAACTAAATTCATAAATCCAAAACCTGCAGAAATTCCCCAGTGGGCAACCTCATCTTCAGAGAATTATGCAAGGAGCATTTGGCTTGGGTAAGCTAGAACTACTTAAAATAAGTAAAAACATAACAGAGGAACCACTGATGTATGTTGTTATTAGGTGCCACTGAGTCAGCTCCAACCCATAGGGACCCTATTATGTACAATAGAACAAAACACTGCCCAGTCCTCTGCCATCCTCATAGTCTTTGCTATGCTTGAGCCCATCGTTGCAGCCACTGGGTCAGTCCATCTCATTGAATGTCTTCCTCTTTTTCACTGACCCTCCACTTTACCAAGCATGATACCCTTCTCCAGGGACTGGTCCGTCCTGACCACATGACTAGTATGTGAGATGATATCTGGCCATTCCTGCTTCTAAGGAACATTCCTGCTACACTTCTTCCAGGACAGATTTGTTCATTCTTCTGTTTTATAGTAACATTTAACTGAGTTTATATGGCAGCCCTGAAAAAATGAGAAGAAAAGACATTATAAACATGTTTCAGTGTCAGGTCTAACAATTCTGAATGAGTTGTGAAGAGTTGGTTAGGTTAATCTAATAGCAGGCAACATACTTCCCATTAGGGAGTCCAAAGTTTTGTTCTCTTTACTGGATAAAAATACTAATTTAGATTAATGAAATAGATTGTTTTGCCTTTGTATTAAGAACTAAGGAGTTATATCACTGTATCGAAGAACCATTGATTTTAAAACACATCATTATTTTAAGAAAGAAAAAAGACACTTAAAGTATTAATCCTGTTTTTATTATTGTTTAAAATTTTTTTATACTCTGAAAATGCTTTCTTAGGCCTACATAGACATGAAGTGACCACACTTTGAAGAGCTATGCCCAAATTTATGGGAGGCAGTGATAAATAACTGTTAAGTTTTCCACCTGGCTGACAACAATTGTAAGATGCCTTGAGTTTTAAGACACAGCCTGATTTCAGGGATATTAAAATGCAAAAAAAAAAAAAAAAAGTGTGCCTTAGAATTGATGACATATGACACATTAAGTAAGTTACCTTCCAGGTGGATTTAAAAGGAAAAAAGGTACTCAGAGACAGATAAATATGATTCAGCATAACACATATTATTCTAAAAGAATATACAAAATGCCTTGGATAAGGAAATGACTAACTGCTTTGGAGAAACAGGGAAGGCTTCCCAGTGGGGACACAGAGAGAGACCTCCTTGGAGAAGGCAAAATTAAAGAGGGAAAAGTCAGAATGATGGAAGAGAGTTCAAATAAGACAGACAAGGCTCGGTTCAATGCCCCACTTCTATAGTCCTGGGATCTTATAATGTGGGGATTCTAGATATGATCACAGGCTTCCACTGGTGCCGCCATCAGACAGGAGGGGATAGCAGTGTCCACCACATCGTTAGTACTCAAAGTCTATTTGTTAAATGAGTGAGCAAGTGCATGCATGAGTTACTGTTGTGTGTTACTTGAGATAAGAACTATTCTTTTTCCCCCTATCATTCTAGAGAAACTTGAGAGTGAGAAATTGAACGTTGCTGAGGTCACCCAGTCAGAGATTGCTCAGAAGCAAAAACTGCAGACTGTCCTGGAGAAGATCAATGAAACCCTGAAACTGCCTCCCAGGAGCATCAAGTGGAATGTGGACTGTGAGTCTGATAAGAGAAACAGGACTGTTCAGTAACACTTTGGTTTAAAAACAAACAAACAAACAAAACTCACTGTCATCAAGTCAATTCCAACTCATAGTAACCTTTTCTCTAAGACAGAGTAGAACTGCCCCATAGGGTTTCCAAGGCTGTAAATCTTTACAGAAGCAGTCTCCCTCATCTTTCTCCCATTAAGCGGCTGCTGGGTTTGAACTGCCAACCTTTTGGTTAACAGCTAAAACTTTAAGTGCTGCACTATGAGCTCACTCACTGCCATCGAGTAAATTCTGACTCATAGCAACCCCCTTTGGATTTCTGAGGTGGTAAATCTTTACGGAAGTCGATTGCCTAGTCTTCCTTCTGTGGACAGGCTGGTGGATTTGAACTGCCAACCTTCTGGCTAGCAGTCAAATGCCTTAGGCGCAACACCACCAGAGCTCCTTGTTATTGCCCCCAAAAAGCCATCCAGTAAGTTGGCCAGTCCTGGATGGGTACAAATAATAACAAAATCTCAAAATACAGTGTCCCTTTTCTCTAAAAAGCTTTCTGTAGAAACCTCATGTGAGACAATATTGGTGTTAGTTGCTGGCAAGTTTATTCCAACTCTTGGAGACCCCACGTGAGATAGGGAGAGGATAGAAACTAATATTCATGCCTCTTCCATGTCCCACACAACCTTTCCAGAAAACTGTTGTCTCCTAGAAAGGAATCCTCAGGCTTCTGAAAGCTGAGGCTCCCATGTTCATGCAGCTACTAAGAAACAGTGAAGTGAGGACTTACCTTTGTTCCAGCGCCCATGCCCTTCCTCTTACTACCTCATTTTCCAGAAGGAGCAAAGACATGGCTAAGACTATAGGCTTTGGGACAGGATTTGAAAAAATCAGGATTTCATAGCTACTATAAAATTTCAAGGACCTCTGAAAGTCTAAGCTGTTGATTCTTTCGCTGCCTCAAGGGAACACCAGTCCATTGAGTCTACTCTAGTTCATGGATATCCCATGTGTGTCACAGTAGGATTGTGCTCCATAGGGTTTTCAACGGCTAATTTTTCAGAAACAGATTGCCAGGCCTTTCTTGAAGTGTACCTCTGGTGGACTGGAACCAATAACCTTTTATTTAGCAGCTGTTTGCACCACCCAGGGAGACCTGCCTCAGGGGCCTGGGGTCTCATATGGACTTAATGAGTCTATATCTGTATCAGTAAGAAAACTTGCCTCCCCGGCAAAAAAAGTACCTTTCATACTTGGGAGGCAAAAAGGAATATTATTCACCTCTAAACTCAGAGATCCAGTAGCTGCTAGGCACAATCTCTTGAGCAGGTTTCTAACATCTAACACTGGGGCTGAGACACCAAGTGCCTCCTTCAGCATAATTATACCTTTGCTTGCACAGTGATAAGCTGGTGGGCACAGCACAGCGCTTGGAACAGGGCATTCTCTGTGAGCATGGGGGCGGGGTACCTGAGAACAGGATGAGGGGAGGCCCTGGCTCAGCTCTAGGCTGTAGAGACTGTCTTGGGGTTGGGCTCTGATTCCTTGTGTTCCCAGGAATGTTAGTATTGTTTAGCGGGGAAGAAAAGGGAGCTGGATTATTAGCTTGAAAAATGCCCCACACCATATCCGCCTTTTGGAAATCCCCAATTATCATAAGTGTTAGAGGAGTCTTCTAATGAAGAACCTGCTTAGTTTTGTTTGGTCCCATTTCCCACCACTTTGAATATGGACCATTTCCTGGTAGTGTAGCAAAGTAAAACGCCTTGTAACAGTCATGGAACACAGTATGGGGGAGACTAAGATATCAGGCATATTGTCTTTAGTGGCTTTGGACACTTTGCTTGGTTCATTTTTTATTTTAATTTCTTATGGAGAAATGTGTGTGGGTAAAATAATCATACTGTCACTCTGGCCTAGTTCTTGTCACTGTTTGCCCATTACAGTACACATGAGTGGATGTTTTTGTTTGGCATAGTCCTATGCACTATTGCATTTTGTTATATTTTCTCTCAATATCAAAGCATACATATGTTCTAGATTCCCATCTGGTCTTCATAGTTACAATTTTTAATAAGTGAGTGCTTCTATCTTACAGGGTAGATAATTAACTTAAACCCTGTATTGCTGTGGGTACTTTTAGGATCTTTCCAGCTTATTGCTAATACCAGATAGCACCAACGTCTTAGGTTGTGTATCTTTTTGATACTTTTGAATTGTCCCCCTGATGGAGATGTATAGAAGTGAGGTGAATTACCAACCAGGTTATAGGGAATGATTATCTCAGTGACCAGCTCCCTGGGATGCCTTGGGGCTTCAAGAAGTGCTGGACCTGTTGACAAGTGCCAGTGATTTGTTGCAGAAGGAGTGTGACAGGCACACTCTCCCCACAGACAATCTCCTTCCGATCCCCTCTCAGTTACTCCCCTTACAGTCTCTCCAGGCTGTGTCATCTTTACACCCAGGTGAAAAGTGGAAGGAATGGGCTGCTGAGTTTCCAAGGTCCTTGATCCAGGGCTTTAAGGAGTTCTTTTCTTTTATTTATTTATTTATTTTACAGCAGTAACAGTGCAATAGTAACAGTAGAATACTTAGAAAATGCAGGTAAATGAAAAGCATTTTAACTCTTATTATCTCACACGTTTAACATGTGCTTTGTAGTATTCTAAACACCTTACATATTTTAATTCTTGTAATCCTCACTCAAACATCTGAGGTAAAAATTTTATTATCCCATTTTATAGATGAGAAAATGAAGACACAGAAAGGTAATAAATCATGACTGTAAGCTTCATGAAGGCAGGGATTTTTGCATCATCACTATTATGTCCCTGGAACCTAGAAGAGTGACTGAGACACAGTAAGCACAGTAATATGTACTAAAGGAGTCTCATTGTCCCCAGATCACACAGGTGGTAGGTGATGGAGCCAGGAATCAGCCTGAGAGAGTCTGGCTACAGTTGCTAGATAAACAATACCCATCTTGCCCCAGAAGCTGCCCTGCCAAAGAGAGGCCCCATGAACAGTGTGGCGCGTTCCTTCAAGTCACATGTGTATGGGTGTGTGTGAGTGTGTGTAGTTATGTGTGTGTATCCGAAAGAAGAATGAATGAATGAGTGAATATACATACTTCATATATAAAATATAGATAGTTTTCACAAAAATGAAATCAACCTATATATGTTGAATATTGTACTGTATGTCACTTTTAGTTTTATATAATATGATACTGTATGGATGTGTTATAATTGAACTCTGGATGGATTTTTAGGTTGTTTTCAATTTTTTCACGAATATCACACAGTCCAATGATGTCTTTCTGCTCAGAGCCATAATGACTTCATTAGGATAAATACCTAGAAATGGTATTTTAGTGCCAACAGGAATGTACATTTTTAAGGTTATAATAGATATTGCCAAATTGGTTCTGGAAAAATAATGCCAATTTATATTTCTACCACAGGACTGGTCTGGAGGCCTATTTCTAACTCAGTAGCTTCTTTTAAACTGTTTTTCGGCCCTACAGTGACAGTCTTGGTGCAGCTGCTGCGTTCCAAGTTTATTCAGTGAAGTCTTGGTCTTAGCTCTTGCTCTGTACACTTCCATCCTGACTTCAGTGCAGATACACAGTGGCCTCAGGTTCTGCCAAGCATCAGGGAAGAAAACTTCTAGGAGATGCTTTAAGAGATAGCATGATGAAAATGTCCAATATGCAAAGGTTGTTTAGAATGGTTTTAATTGAAAAGATGACATATCTTTATCCTAAATAAAATTTTGAAACAGGAAGAATATTAAAAACATCTTTCTACTCTCACATACTATTTTCATATTTTAAAATATATGTATTTCTTTCCAAGTCTTGGCTATCAGTACATGCTTGTATGTATATGTGTGAGTAGATAGATATGCATATATGTTGTATATATCCATTAATGTGTGTATTTTACATGGCTTCTATTCAGTTTCTCTGTAACATTGCATTATTAATATTTATAGCTAATCATTTGACAGTGATTTTCAACATGTGCAGACTGTTCCATTGCCTAAGTGTACCATGATTAATTAAAGCAGTGATTATTAAACCATGCTTTGAGCCAACCTAGAGATTTGCAAGGAGAATCTCAGGTATCACTTAGTGTGGGGGAAAGCAAGAAGCTGTGTGGGCTGCAGTTAGAACTCTGGGCATTATCGTTTAAACCAGAGCAGTTGTATTTTTCATCAGTTTTACCTACAGGATTTTAGAACAAAGACTTTCTCTGCTTAATTTTTCTCAAAAAGTGAAAACCTTAGATTAAACCATATTCTTGGTATTAGAAATAATTTTTCCAGGTGTTTTAAGCAATTATAGATTACATAATGGTTACTATCTTTGTACACATTGTGTGTGTGTATGTATGTATGCGTGTGGGTGGGTGTGTGTGTGTGTGTTTATCAGTCAGAATTCTCCAGAGAAGTAGAATCATTAGGAGATACATAATATATATGTATTTGTGAACTTGTGGCTGAGGTTTGGAAAGGTACATATGTAGTTATGACAGAGTGGAAAAATGTGTGTGTGTGTGTGTGTGTGTGTGTGTGTGAGTGAATGAACAAATTTATCTTGTAAGAAGTTCAGCCAGAATACTCCTCAGAAGTAGGTGTCATGAGGCTTTGTACTTTGGTCATGTTATCAAGAAGGACCAGTCCCTGGCGAAAGACATCATGTTTGTTAAAACCAAAAACCAAACTTACTGCTGTCGAGTCAATTCTGACTCATAGCAACCCCCTTTGGGTTTCCAAGGGCAGTAAATCTTTATGGAAATAGATTGCCTAGTCTTCCTTCGTGGAGTGGCTGGTGAGTTTGAACCTCCAACCTTCTGGTTAGCAGTCAGATGCCTTAAGCACTACACCAAGTAGTCAATTAAAAAGAGGAATTCACTCAACGAGATGGATTGCAGGCCAGTGGCTGCAACAATGGGCTCAAAAATAGCAACAATCGTGAGGATGGTGGATGACCAGCCAGTGTTTCATTCTGTTGTACAAGGTATTGCTATGAGTTGGAACTAACTCAGCAACACCTACCAAGAACATATATAGAACATACAGAGAGAGAGAGAGATTAATTGATGGATTGATTGATAGATTTTAAGGAATTGGCGTACTTGGTTGTAAGAGCTAGTAAGTCTGAAATCCATAGGGCAGGCTCGGATAGGAATCCTCTATAAGTAGGATTTCTGTTATACTCTTGAGGCAGAACTCCTTCTCAGGAAACCTCATTTTGCTCTTAAAGACCTTCAACTGATCAAATGAGACTCACCCACATTACTGAGAGTTACCTCCTTTACTTAAAGTTATCCAACTGTAAAAGTTAATCATATTTGCAAAATACCTTTGCAGTAGCATCTAGACTGCTGTTTGACCATACATCTGGCCAACATAGCCTAACCAAGTGAGACTGTGGAATTACTTACTGTGCAGCTGTGGGAAAACTTCCCAGGAGAGCAGTGCACTCAGTGAAAGGATGTGGCCACCTACATGGTACTTACTGTATAGCTCAGTGTTGCTGAATGAGACTATTGAGATTATGTACAATGTCACCAGGATGTAAAAACAATCTATTTTGTTTTTTGTTTTATTTTATTTTTGTTGTTGATATACACAACAGAGCATATACCAGTTCAACAATTTCTACACATACAATTCAGTGACATTTATTATGTTCTTCAAGTTGTACAGCCATTTTCACCCTCCTTTACCAAATTGTTCCTCACCCAGTATCATAACTCACTCTCCCTAAGCTCCCTCTCTAACCTTCCAAGTTGCTATTGTTAGTCTCATCTCATATAGATCTTTGAAAGGGCATAATATGCAAGGCAGATATCCTTTACAAATTATGCTAAACTGTTGTTTGGTTTAAAGTTCAAGGGATGTTTTTGGCTTCCATGAAAATTGAATTTTGTCCTGTATTTTCCCCCTTTTGATCAGGATTATTCTATAGAATCTTTGGTCAAAACAGAACAACCTGTTTGACCCCTGCTTTTCCAGCATTATGTAGATAATGCCCTTTGGGGAACAGTTAGGGGGATGTCAATAAAAGGGGAAGGTTAGCAAATAATTGGGTAGCAAATGACCCAGTTGGATTGGTTCTGATTAGAAGAGCAAGCCTGGACTTGGCATTTTTCTGTCAGTGTCTGTACCAAGTCAGTGGGTCAGTCGCATAGTAGGAGCCTTTTTTGAGGCTGTAATTGTGGGTAAAACTTAGTTGGCAGAGCCTGAGAGCTCAGAACTGAAAAATAACTAAGGCTCAGAAGTGTAAAATAAGACTGAGTTAGGAACAGTTCATCTACTGTTTGATGGTGGTGTAGAACTGCTTTTCATAGCCAGTAGAAAACCTTCTTTGAAGTAGGAGTGATAACAAGAAACTAATGAGTTCCCAATGTCTGAATCATTCCTTTGTCTTGGAGGTTTCTCAAAGCTTCTGCTAAAGCAGATTTATCAACTCCAGGGCAGACAGAAGGCCACCCTAATAACGGCCCCAGCCCATGCTAACTGTACAGAGAGGGCTTTTTTTTTTTTTAAAAAAAAAAAAACTTTCTTTAAATGTCCCCTGTAATGAAGAACTATGAGGGCTGGTAGGATTGTGAAATCAAATAAAGTATCTGGCAAATCATCCCTGTGGTGAAAAAGAAAGGAGAGAAAGCTAACATGTTTTAATGGCTAAGGTACCAGGCATTTTCTAATATTAAAATTTTTTTAAATATCAGCCATTCCCAAGCACTTACTATGTGCCAGGAGTTTTGCTTACTTATCTCTGAAAATTCTTACAACTTATATACTTAGGCATCAATAATGTTTTTCCAGTTTGTAAAGGTGAGCAAATCAAGGGTCAGAAGTCTTGAGTGGCCTATCCAAGATCACGTAGCCAGGAAGTGGGAGAGCTGTTAAGTCAGAACTCAAGCTGCAATCTGCCTGACCCTGCTGCCTGTGTGTCCCCATTAAGTTACATCTTTTTCTTATCTCTGGAGAGAACCACAGCCCAATAGGCCTAGCCTTCCCTAGTGTGTATGGCTTAACATCCAGCCATAGCTCGGCGGCTATGGAAGCCAATTAGGTCATGAACATCCCCTCCTAACTGTTCCCCAAGGGGCATCATCTACAATGACCATAAGTGACACTTGAGAAAACCAAAGCCCTTTAGAGGATTTTCATGCCGCCTTCCCGGGATTTTCAATTTATAAACAAAGAAGGTACCCTTGGAAAAGGGTGATGGTAACAATCCAAAGTTCACTGTCAGGTGGGAAGGGAGAGGGGGATAGAGGGCAGACATGTTCATGGTTAATAGAATGACGTGAAAAGGAACATGGGCATGGTAGGATTAATCTGAGCTCAGACCTCACTGTCATCAGGGTGCTGATGGGCAACTTGGATTAGAGTAAAACAGTATCACACTGGAAACCCAACAATATAATCCTAGGGAGCTTCAACAATATAATCCTAGGCATCTGGCTAAGAACTGAAGGGGCCCAGCATGAGGTCCATGATAACCAAGGACCTTAAACTTGAACCGTGAGGGTAGGCTAAAAGGGACACTGGGTATGAGACTGCTACATTTTTAATATTGCTTGCATTGGCAAGAACCTATAAGAAGATTCTCTAAATTTTAATATCATCTTTATTTCAGCTGTTCATGCCAAGAGCCTGGTAGCCATCTTGCATCTGCTAGTTGCTCTGTCCCAGTATTTCCGAGCACCAATCCGACTCCCAGACCATGTTTCCATCCAAGTGGTTGTGGTCCAGGTAAGAATAGCACCACAAACAAATGCCCCTTTAAGGAAGTATAGTTGCTGGGATACTGTGAGGGCCACAGTACAGTGGATAGATGGTCAGAAGGATAGATGGTGAATGCTGAATGCCCTTGGGTGTGGCATAGATTGGGAGGCATATGACTGAGTTTTCTGATGTGTGTTGGCTCATCCTCAGTAAAAGAGTAAAATCCTCAGCAAAGAGTAAAAGAGTATGTGCTTGTGTGTGAGATATCCTGTGTAGGACCTATGTCTGGGGTTTATTTCTTTTGTTAGGTTGATGTCTCTGTCATCATATTTGAGAGTGTGTGTGTTATGTGTTTGGGTAATGTTTTCATTACCTAGTGCCACTCTGACAAGATTATACCACAAATGAGATGGCTTGAACAAACAGGAGTTATTTTCTCTTATAGTTTGGAGGCTTTAAGTCTAAGTTCAAAGTGCCAGGCCCTATGAAAGCCCTTTGACCTTGGGTTCAGCTCTGCCTCTTGCTCCTGGCCCACTGAAGCTAGAGGCATCTCTTCACTCAGGCAGCTACTGGCTTCTGAGGCTAACGAGACCAGGGTCGACAAATAAAATGGCACAGTCCTGATGTTACCAAACCACACGGCAGGCCATTATTTCAAGTCCATTGAAAGTTCCAAGGTTGGCAGAGCATGGCAGGCTGCTGAACAATGACATGGCTACATGCAGGGTGTATAAGCGTGCCATAAGCTAGAGACCATTCTCAAAGCTGTGTCTTATATATGGGAAGCAGACCACATACCCAAAGGCAGCTACTCAGCTGCTCACAGTAGATTCTGCCATGGAGTTGATTAACAATCTCATCATGGGGAATACTACAACCAGCTGCCCAGCCACTCAACTAGGTCTACCCAAGTTGACACACAAACTCAACCACCACAGGTAATATGGCCAGGAGGAAAGATGTGTCCTTTTGGTTTGTGCAGTTGTGTGCAGGATGCCCTGCAAGCCACGGAAAATCATCACATTAAACAAATGAAGCATAGGTATTGAAATCATCATTGTTAAACAAATGAAGCATAGGTATTGAAGCAGATACCTGTGCATGTGAGGGGGTAGGTGCATGTGTGGTTAGAGAGACTAAACAGGCCATATCTGTATTAAGGGCACTGCTGCTTTTCACTCACCCAGAGAAGCACAGCTGGGATCTCAAGTCGTTTTTTCCAGATTGTTGGATGGAATTTCCATACACATATGGCTGCATAATTTCCACAATGAGTGTGTGCTTTCTCCCCATGACTATCTCACTCTGCTCCTAACGCCATTAGATACTCAAATTCAATTTTACTTTCCATCTTTATGCCCATTTAGCAAAAGGTCATCATTTTGTTGGTTTGTTTCTGTTCTTTTCCAAATAAATATGCAACAAGGCAAAACTCCGCACATAAGCAGCTCCCTGGATATCCAGGATTCTGGAATGGAGTACAGTGTGGCAGCTCTTCTGCCCATTGGTGAGGAAAAACTATGAGGGTTAGTCAGCCTTGCCTGACCAAGCCAGACCAGAGTCCAGGACAGAAAGACTTTGAGCCAAGCTCTCTCAGAGATCAGATGTTAGTGGAAGGGGGGAGGAGGTGGTGGTGGTGGCTAAGACTCTGACTGGTGGCTCCTCAATCAGTTGATCAGTTGTGCCCTAATCAAAAAGCATTTCTTCCACGCCTTCTGGGTGTTTAACTCTGCTACGCATGAAAAACCAAACCAAACCTGTTGCGGTTGAGTTGATTCTGACTCATGGTGATGATTATAGTAGAGTAGAATTGAGCTCCATAGGCTTGTGTTGGCTGTAAACTTTACAGAACTGGAGTGCCAGGCCCTTCTTCTGCAGTGCTTCTGGGTAGGTTTCAACTATCGACCTTTCAGTTAGTAGCCAAGTGTAGACCGTTTGTGTCACCCAGGAACACTTGCTAAGCATCAAGGATGAGTAATAGGAATATAACATCTTAGTCCTGTCTGCTGGAAGAAAAGACTACATGTAAGAAGCAGAGAGGGCTCTCAGGAGCCCATGGTTGATGTGAATGTTGGTGACTCAAGCACTGATTGTAGCTGATGGGAAGGTATTAATTGCCATTATTTCCTGAGCACTTCAGCTGTATCAAGCATGGTGCTAATAACCACTTTATGGATGCTGTGGCTCCATGTCCAACCCAGAGCATCTATGCACAGTCATCTTCTTGGTGAATCCAGGCTATATCTATTGTGTTATTGTACCAATCAATAGTATGTGAATCTATTTCATTATATTTTTAAAAAGTACAATTGAAGATTGAGCAGGAGTGAGGGGGCTCTTATTTTGAAACCATGACCACTGCAAGCCCTTATATAACGTATGCCTTGTTTTCAGCTCAATTTTAGATCATTAGAAAGCTATTGCTGGTTTAATTTCTCCTGTAGGCAGTTTTGTTAGCATGAGGGAGAAAAGAGGACACGTTACATAAAATGGCATCAGTGCATGTCAGATTTTATGGGGTGTTTTGCTTTATCAACTTAAACAGGCACAGAAGCAGAACTCCGAGAACTGGCAATGAGTCACTGACTAAACTCTTTAGGGAACAAGTAATGGATGGAGATGAATCAGGATGCTGTGTGAGGGGCTCTTTGACCCAGATTTCATCTCCATTCTGTATAAAAGCATTTAATTCTTGATGAAGTTTAATATTGAGGTTTAATGTCCATGAATGGCCTCCCAAGACAAGCAACACAGATTTCATGTGCCCCATGTGAAAACTTTATATACATTGAAAGTGAATTTGGCAAAAGTCTTGAATCATCCTCACCTAATCCCTTTCAAGGAAGCTGGTGGTGCAGTCATTAAAGCACTCGGCTGCTAACCAAAAGGTTGGCGGTCCCAACCACCAGTTGCTCTGCAGGAGAAAGATGTGGCAGTCTGCTTCCATAAAGATTTACAGCCTTGGAAACCCTATGAGGTGGTTCTCCTTTGTCTAATAGGTGTTGGAATCAACTCAATAGTAGTGGGGTTTTTTGGTTTGGAATCCCTTTCAAATAATCAATCTCTCTCTCTCTCTCTTGCTTTAATAGTCCATTCTTCATCTACTCCAGATAAGCTCTTAACCTTTGTCCAGCTTATCCAGCTCTACCCTTCCTTCTGTCAAAGTATTTTGGAAGTACCTTTTGTGGCTATTGGGATAGTGAAGGGAGGTTTGGGCAGGAGGCTAAAGAAAGAGGGTTTCAGGTAAGCCACCACCTCTGAAAGGCTCCTTCTTGATGCTTATGTCAGCCTTTGTGGAAGATGAATTCACTCTCACAGGCTCTTGCCCAGACTTTCCTGCCAGTATCTGCTAAAGGGTATGTAGGGAGCTAATAGAATGTATCTCCCCCCTTTACTCCCATCAGAATATCTTCCTGAGCCCATATATTTCCCTGTTCAGAAACCTCTCACAACAGAGAAACTTATAGCCTATTAAATAAATATATGCTTATTTAAAAAAAAGAAAAAAGATCTCAAATCAACAGCCTAACTCAACAACTCCAGGACCTAGAAAGAGAAGAGCAAATTAAGCCTAAACCTACCGAAAGAAAGGAAATAACAAAGAACAGAACATAAACAGATAAAATTGAAAACAGGAAAACAATAGAATCAATAAAACCAGAGATGGTTCTTTGAAAAGATCAATAAAACTGACAAACTTTTTGCTAGGCTGACAAAGAAAAGATGCAAATAACCAAAATTAAAAATGCAAGAGGTGACATTACAACTAACCCAATAGAAATAAAGAGAGTTATGACAGAATGTGGCACAGTGCCTAAGGCATTTGACTGCTAACCAGAAGGTTGGTGGTCCAAACCCACCAGCCACTCCATGGAAGGAAGATGTGGCAATCTACTTCTGTAAAGATTTACCACCTTGGAGTCCCAATAGGGGTTACTGTCAGTCCTAATTGACTTGAAGGCAGTGAGTTTGGTTTTGGTTTGGTTTATTATGAATAACTGTATGGCAACAAACTGGATAACCTAGATGAAATGGACAAATTCTTAGAAGCACACAGGCTATTCAAACTGACTCAGGAGGAAATTTTAATTCTCAACACACCTATAACAAGTGAAAAGATCGGATCAGTGATCAAAAACCTCCCAACAAAAAAAAGTCCTGGAGCAGGTAGCTTCATTGGGGAATTCTACCAAACATTTAGAGAAGAATCAACAGCAATACTGTTTAAACTCTTCCAAAGGTAGGGGAGGAAGGAATGCTCCCTAATTTATTCTTTGAAGCAAACATAACCCTGATACCCAAACCAGACAAAGACAGCACAAGAAAAGAAAACTACAGGCCATTATCTCTCATGAATATACATGCAAAAATCCTCAGTACAATATTAGTGAACAGAATCCAACAACATATTAAAACAGTCATATACCATAAAACAGACCATGTGGAATTTATTCCAGGAATGCAAGGATAGTCCAACATTAGAAAACTAATAAATATAATATACCACATCAATAGAACAAAGGAAAAGAACAATATGATCATCTCTATATCAAACCAAACCAAACCCACTGCTGTTGAGTCAGTCCAACTCACAGCGACCCATCCTTGGGTTTCCGAGGCAGTATCACTATCTCTATGGTTACAGAAAAAGCATTTGATAAAATCCAACACCCTTTCTTGATGAAAGCCCTAAAGAAGATGACAATAGAAGGGAAATTAGTATGTTTAAGGACATATATGAAAAGCCAACAGCCAACATTATACTTAATGCAGAAAGACTGAGAGCTTTGCACTTGAAATTGGGAGCAAGACAAGGGTGCCTGCTCTTACCACTTCTATTCATTATTATATTAGAAGTCCTAGCCAGAGAAATATGACAAGAAAAATAAATAAAAGGTATCCAGATTGGAAAAGAAGTAAAAATTACCTCTATTTGCAAATGATGTGATCCTATATATAGAAAATCCCAGAGAGTCACAAAAAAAACTTCTACAGCAAATAGAAGAATTTTACAAAGTTTCAGAATATAAGGTCAACAAACAAAAATCAGTTGGGTTTCTATAAACCAGGAAGGAGAATTCTGAAAAGGAAATTAGGAAAACAACTCCATTTACATTACCATTGAGAGAATAAAATACCTAGGAATAAATCTAACCAGGGACATGAAAGGCTTATACAATGAAAACTATAAAATGCATGAAAAGATGTTCAGTATCATTAGCCATCAGATATATGCAAATCAAAACCACTTCACTCCCACTAGGACTAGAATGGCTATAGGAGCTCTGTTGGCATAGTGCGTAAGGCACTTGACTGCTAACCAGAGGCTGGTGGCTCAAACCCACCAGCCACTCCTCGGAAGGAAGGTTGGGCAATCTAATTCCATAGTGATACCACCTTGGAAACCCAAGGAGGGCTCACTATGATTCAGGTCTGACTCCATGGCACATAACAACAACAACGATGATGACTATGATTAAAAAAAACAAATCAACATTGGCAAGGATGTGGAAAAATTCAAACTCTTATCCATTGCTATTGGGAATGCAAAATGTACAATGTGGAAAATAATGTCATGGTTCCTCAAAAAACTAAAGATAGAACTACCACATGACCCAGCAATTCCAATCCTAGATATTTACCCAAAAGACATGAAAGCAGAGATTCAAAAAGAGACTTGTACACCAATGTTCATTGCATTACTCTTCAGAATAGCCAAAAGGTGGGAACAACCTAAATGTCTATCAATAGATGAATGGATAAACAACATGTGATACATACATACTATGGAATACTAGTCAGCCAGTCAGAGAAATGAAGTCGTGATACACACTACAGTATGGATGGGGCTTGAAGACATTATGCTGAGCAAAATTAGCCAATCACAAAAGGATAATATTGGATGACCTCACTTGTATAAAAAGACAAGAGAAGGCAAATATATAAAGACCAAAGTTGATTGGTGGTTTCCAGGCAGGGAGGGAAGGGGAAAAGGAGGGTTAACAATGATGGAAAATCACAATGATTAAGGGCAGGTTTGCACAGCTGATTGTTGCAGTTGATGTCAGTAAGCTGTGTACCTGTAAAAAGTTGAATTGGAAAAGTTGTGTAATAGATATATTTACAACAATGACTGAAGTGAGGAAAAAAGGAGAGAGTAGCTGCTGAGGCTGCTTATTTACAACCAAACACTTCATGGAATTTGGTTTCTTTGTTTGGAGGTTTAGGGTCATGGTTTTATGGGATATTCCAGTTAATTGGCCTAATCACATGTTTAGTGCTTGTGTTGTACCTCTAGTTCATTGCATGGTGCCCAGAGTCTTGGAAGCTTGCAAGTGGCTATTCACCTGGAGTAGCAAAGGGAAGAGAATTAGGAATAGGAGGAGGATATGAAATATGTGATTAACTGCCTCCAGAGACAACTGCCTCCTTTGCAATGAGACCAGAACTAGATGGTTCCGGGCTACCATTACTGAACATTTGCATCAAAGATCCCATTGAAGAATCCTGATCAAATGGGAAAATGCAGAACAGAATTTCAGAGTCTCACTAACTCTAAACTTTCTGGAGCCATGTGGGTTATACGGTGCCCCGAGATAATCTTTAAACTTTAAAGCAAAAATATCCCCTGAAATCTTCTTAAAACTGAACAATAACCAAAAAAAAAAAAAAA